TCCCCGAGGCCACACTTGCGCGACCAGCCCGCCTGCATCGTGCTCCTCGGCTTGATGCTCCCCAAGACCACACTTGCGCGGCCAGCCCACCTGCGTCGTGCTCCTCGGCTTGACGCTCCCCGAGACCACACCTGCGCGGCCAGCCCGCCTGCGTCGTGCTCCTCGGCTACACGCTGCCCGAGACCACGCCTGCGCGGCTTGCCCGCCTGCGCCGTGCTCCACGGCCGCACACTGCCCGGGATCACCGCTATGCGTCCAACCCTTCTTAGTTGGTAAGCTCCGCAATTCCCACACCCCTGGCAACAGACCGACAACCGCCCGGCAGGTATAGTTTCTTAAAGCCCAAGCTATGCCTCGGACCTCCCCTCACGTCAATCGAGGCATAGCTTCCTTAGGGGGGGAATATGATAAGGACAAAAATGGCGACATGGTGCGCCATGACGTCAGCCACGCCTGGACGACACACTGCCCAAGGAAGTGAGCATTAACGCCGACTTAATGCGCACCCACGTCAACCATTCCCAGACGACCTCATCGTCTGACCTCGCACGACCGACCGAGGCAGGGGAAAGCGTCGACCGAAGCTCACCCATACCCTGCGGTAGCTCGGTCCTCCACGCAACACCAACGGCGATGTCAGACGCCATCAGAGGTACGGTCCTGCTCCGACAGGCTGGCACATCAGGTAACACAAAACTTACCAATAAATACCCCCGGGCTCCAAACAAAATGGGGGGGAACACAAAAAAAGCACTTCCTCATCCAAAACCCCACTCCACATCATTGACTTGATCGTCGGATGGGTCGGGCCGAACTTCCGACCCGACCTATGTGTAGGTGCTAGACCGGAGTCGTCCCTACCCGGCGCCGCGGCGAAGCTTTTCTTCCAACCAGACCACCGCGATCGGCCACCGGGAGACCCCGAGAAACGCCGCGCTAGATCCCCGTCATTCGGACCCCCGAACAAGCCGCGTCGGCCCCGAGGTCACGGCTAAAAAAGTTGTTTACACCAACAGATACCAAGGAGGTGGTGAGCATCTCCGAACAGGGGCGGGGCATCCCCATCCCCAAGTCGGCCGGCACCGACTACCGGTACGAGGCGGTGGCGGGATTTAACAATGACCCGCCGCGGCTGGGACTGAAGCCGATATCGATCGAGCAGCCGACGGGGCCAAGCTTCGAGGTGGAGGAGGGGGGGCACATGGTGCGGTGGGCCGAGTGGGAGTTCCACCTCAAGGCGGACGAGCGGGCCGGGGTGGTGGTGTCGCGAGTTCGGGCGAGGGACCCGGACACTGGAGAGTGGCGGGGCATCATGCACAAGGGCTTCGTGTCGGAGCTCTTCGTGCCGTACATGGACCCGACTTACGCCTGGTACTTCAAGACCTACATGGACGCCGGCGAGTACGGGTTCAGCCTGCAGGCGATGCCGCTCGTGCTGCTCAACGACTGCCCCAGGAACGCGCACTACATGGATGGCGTGTTCGCCGCCGCCGACGGCCGGCCCTACGTCAGGGAGAACATGGTATGCATCTTCGAGCGGTATGCGGGCGACATCGCGTGGCGCCACTCCGAGAGTCCGATCACTGGCATGGATGTAAGTGTATTAATAGATTTACTTTAAAAAAATCTAATCTGGAGTTAATTAAATAGCCCAAAATTGTGTACATTGTGAACAAATTTAAATTCGATTAATTGGATTCAAATTCGTCTTAAAAATTTGAAATAAGAGTCACACATATGGCCACATCCCACTTGCTTGCATGCATGAAACCCTTTAATTAGATGTCATTTACTGGTGCTTAGCTTCCATAGAGTATAATAATTATTTAGAGATCCAATGAGGATTTTAACTAATTTAATTGGTAAAGAATATAATAGTTTATTGTAATAATGTCTCGTAGCTTTACTAATGATTGTCGTAATCACATCAATTATTACCAAAAAAATACAATTGTCAAAAGAAAAATCGATTATTACCAAAGAAAATGCAATTACCAAAGCTTCTATCTAATCCGGAATTAATAAAGTAGCCCAAATTTTGAGCAAAATTAAATTCGACTAATTGGACTGAATTGTTTGCAAAAAATGGAACTAATAGTCATACATTCTGAACCATTCCTCGTGCTATAACTCGTGAATAATGCAATCGACACTTATCGTGAAAAATGAAGTGCTGGAGATCGATCATATCCGCATACACATAGGAAGAAAGAGATAGGAAATGAACGTCTCATATCACGTTTTACAAGTGGCCGATAGTGATAGGCTTGTGCTTTCGTGGTGTGGCCCAAATCTCGTGTTCCACAATTGTATCTGCAATTCTAAGAGATCACAAAATTTTAAGAACGTGTGTGTATATAATATATATATATATATATATATATATACAATAAATTTTGGAGAAAAACTTAATCTTTATTAAAAATTCTAACAGTGTTTTTTTGTTAATACCTAAAATATCTTTAGTCATTGAACCTTTTTTTCTCATTTTCCTATGGATAGATATATAAGATGAAGCGGTCGAGTAATAGCATGTTACAGTATTTATGATAATATAAAAATATTAGAATATAATATTTTTTGATAAATTATAATATTTTTATACTGTATTACAATATTTTTTATAATATAAAATATTATAGTATAATATTTTGTGATAAATTATAATGTATTCTTGGTATTGCTGAAAACAATATAACATAATGTAGAAAAAACTATAACGTAGTATAAAATACTATAATACTATGTTTATGTACTACGTCATAGTGTTTTCTTGATCTTACTTAAAACATTATAACTGGATATAGATTGGTAAAAAAGGAATAATTAATTGACTATCAAATCAAGAATATTATAAATACTAGATAAAAATGACACCATTAGGGAATTAGGAGCGCATGAGGGACACTGAATATAAAAAAGTCCAAAAAAAGTTTGTTTTTACAAATTGACCACATATTATTTTTTTAATAAAAAAATAAATAATGAAGATAGATTCGATTCGAATTCAGACCCTATAATAAAAGTTCAAGTTATGTATTAGATAAGCTAATTAATATATTTTACATATATTATTTTTAACATTATAAAAAAAATCATATATTATGTCCGTTTACTATAGGAAATTAACATGTTGGAATATCATATCTTTTTAATTTGAGATTTTAAGGGGGATGTGAAAGAATTAGATGTACACAGCGTGTGAGAATTCAAATGATTCCTCGGAATCGTGATCCACGTGCCTCGGCACGACTCCATCACCGAAATGTGTTTTAGGTTTCTTACAAAGAAAATGATTCACCAATAGTGATTCAAAAATTAATGATTCCCATGATTAGAACATAGAGGGGCAAGTCGGAACCGCCCCGGCAGCAACAACCCGCCGCATCCCGGCATAGGTTAGATAGATCCGACCCGCGACACCAAGGTCCCCTCTCCCCGCCTTGAACTCGTCCCGAATAGAAATATTTCTCCACATAAAGGAGAAGGGACTACTCAAAGATCCTCACCCGATGAGGAGCCCGCGAGAGCTGGCAGACCGATCAAAATATTGCCGCTTCCATCGGCAGCATGGGCATGACACTGAACAGTGTCGTGAGTTAAAAAGGCAGATCGAGGAGCTCATCCATAGAGGGCATCTCGGCCAGTACCTTCGACCAGACAAGGAACTTTCGCCATGCCCGGAGGGCCCTCTCGAGCGACACATCGATGTGATAGCCGGCGGCCCCGCGTTTGGCGGGGGCTCCATGATGGGAAGAAAGGCTTACGCCAGAGCCGCCCCGACCGAAGCTCACGGGAACGGGCCCGAACCCGAGATCACTTTCCCGACCGGAGCATCCGAACAACCCGAGCACGACGATGTGCTTGTGATATTGGCCAGGATCGCCAACGCGCAAGTAAGGAGGATCATGGTCGATACCGGGAGCTCAGCTGACATACTTTACTTCGATGCCTTCCAAAAGCTCGGCTTGGCTAGGGAGAACATGAAGCCAATGTGCTCGGCGCTCACTAGATTCACCGGAGATTCAATCTCACCGTTGGGAGCTATCACCCTGCCCTTAACCTTGGGGGCCCCGCCGAGGTCGAAGACAGTAATGACCACTTTTCTAGTGGTCGACCTCCCCACCGCGTACAACGCCATCCTCAGCCGACCAACCCTCAACAAGGTCAGAGCCATCGTCTCAACTTACTACCAAACTATTGTTGAATCTCGGATTAAGTTGGAAATGGGAGGTGATCCCATTAACTTAATCTTGGGGCAATTGGGCCCCTGAAAAACCCAAATTGGGCCGAATGGATCAACCCATTCGGACCCTGATTTCTGCCAGGCGGTTGAACCGCCCAAGGCAGGAGGTTGCACCGCCTGGGCTCAGTCTCCGAGCGAGACTGGGAGGTGCAACCGCTCCAGCTAGGCGGTGGCACCGCTTGGGCTCAGTCTCCGAGCGAGACTGGGCGGTGCAACCTCCCCTGATAGGAGGTGGCACCGCTTGAGCTCGGTCTTTAAGCTCTGCCAGGCGGTGCAACCGCCTCAGTCAGGAGGTGCAACCACCCCTGACAGGAGGTAGCACCGCTCAAAGGCTCAGTCTTTGAGCTCTGCTAGGCGGTGCAACCGCTCCAGTCAGGAGGTGCAACCGCCTAATCCCGGAATTCCAGGAATTGACAGTTTTGAGCTCCAAATTTGAACTGGGTTAGGGCCTATAAATACCCTACCCATTCAGCACTAAAAGAGCATGAACTTACACCGAAATCTTGATCTTTTTCTGTGATTCTTAGAGCTCAAAATTATTGTAAAGGCCAAAAGTTCTTCTCCCTCTTTTCTTCTAAGTTCTGAGTTGTAAAGAGAGGAGAGAAAATTCTGTAAGGGTTGTCTCCTAAGCCCGTCAAAAGGAGTGAAACTGTAAAAGGGTTGTTGGCCTTCGCCTATTGAAGGAAGGCCTCTAGTTGACGTCGGTGACCTCGTCGGTGGAGAAAGCCAAAAGTGGAGTAGGTCAAGATTGACCGAACCACTCTAAATCTCGATTTGCATTTACTTTGAGCATATTATCTTTACTGCAAACCTCCTCAATAGCTTACTGTCTTCTGTGTTTTTACGAACGTGTTTCAAAGTTCAGTGCTTTCCGAATCGGGGTTTAAGACGCAAATCAGTTTTATCGAACGAACGTTGTATTTTAGTTTGCGCTTGCGTTCTGATTTCCATTATAACTGCAAACTACCTTTATATCTTTGCTTTAACTGCATCTTGCCTTATCTCAAGTTAAAGTAGTTTACGAATCAGCTTTTATACCGAAATCGCTTTTATCGTACGAACGTCGTATTTCAGTTTGCGCTTATATTCTGATTTCCATCATAACTACAAACTGCGTTCATATCTTTGCTGCATCTCTCCTAGTCAAAAGTTGAAGTGATTTACGAATCAGCTTTCTTACCAAAATCACTTCTATCGAACGAACGCAGTTTTCGATTTTAATCGCAGAAGGTTTTCCGCTGCACTAATTCACCCCCCCTCTTAGTACTCTTGATCCTAACAATTGGTATCAGAGCGGGGTTAACTCTCTAACGGTTAAAACCCAAGAGAGATGGCATACGCCGGAAACCAAGAGGGCCATTCTATTACACGTCCACCCATGTTCAATGGGACGAACTACACCTATTGGAAGACTCGAATGAGGATCTTTCTTATTTCTATGGATTTTGAACTTTGGAATCTTGTCGAAAACGGATTTTCGAAGTCTTCTCTTCTAATGATCGATTGGAATGAATTGGAGAAGAAGGCTTTCGCTCTTAATGCATAGGCTATGAATGCCTTATTTTGTGCACTTGATAAAAACGAGTTTAACCATGTTTCGACTTGTGAAACTGCATTTGATATTTGGCACACACTCGAAGTGAATCACGAAGGCACAAGTAGAGTGAAAGAGTCAAAAATCAATCTTCTGTTACATTCTTTCGAACTTTTCCGGATGAAACCGAGTGAGACCATTGGCGACATGTTTACCCGTTTCACGGATGTCGTCTACGGTCTAAAAGGACTCGAAAAAAGTTTTTCAGATTTTGAGCTCGTAAATAAGATTATAAGATCCCTTCCTAAGAGTTGGGATCCTAAAGTCAATGCAATTCAAGAGGCGAAAGATCTAAGCAACTTCCCTCTTGAAGAACTAATCGGGTCATTAATGACCTACGAGATGACCTACAAAGCTCATGAAGAGCAAGAAGACATCCTTCCAAAGAACAGGAAGGATATGGCACTTAGAACTTCAGAAGACCACTTGAGAGAAAACTCAAGTGATGAGGACTATGACGATGACTTGGCACTTCTAACAAGAAAATTTAAAAAATTCATTAAAAGAAACAAGTTTAAGAATGACGCAAAAAATAAACTTGAACCCAAAAAGGACCAAGTTATTTGCTATGGGTGCAAAAAGCCAGGACACTACAAGAGTGATTGTCCCCAAGCCAAAAAGAGAACATCAAAGAAGAAGGCGCTCAAAGCAACGTGGGATGACTCGAGCGCGTCCGAAGAAGAGGAGTCCAACACCGAGCAAGTTGCTCACTACGCCTTAATGGCCATCAGAGAGGAGGTAACGAATTTAATAGATGTAGATTTATCATTTGATGAATTATTAAATGCCTTCCATGACTTATTTGATGAATGCAAGATTATTGGTAGAAAATACAAATTGCTAAAAAAGGAGCATGACAGTCTTACTTGTAATTTTGATAAGTTAAAAGCTGAATATCATGATAGTTTAGGCTCATGCATAAAATGCCATGATCTAGAAACTCTCCAAAAGGAAAACTTGCTACTTAAGGACATCTTGAAGAAATTCGAGGTTAGTAGCAAGTCATTGAACATGATTCTTGCAAACAAGGGTCACGTTCCCAAAAGAAGTAGAATTAGATTTGTGAGAAGTCCTCACCAAAATCCAACCACCTTCATAAAAGGCCCCATCTTACATGTTCGACACCAAAGCAAATGCAACTTTTGTTACAAACTTGGACACTAAACACATTATTGTCCATTCAAGAAAATTAGTCCGAATAAATTAATTTGGGTTCCTAAAGGAACCATGACAAATTCTATGCAACATGATAAACAATATAGATCTATTTTTGAGGCACTCAAAAGCAAATGGGTACCTAAAAATCATCCTTTCCTATAAAGACATAAAAAATTATTATAAGCTAGAGCAAGAAATAATATCCTGCTCCTTGGATTCTCGATATTCATGACCCGAAGTCCAAAATGGAACTCGCAATGCTCTCTACCCCAAATAACAGAAGAGGATTAGAAAATTAAAATCACAAATACGATTTGAATACAATCCTATTTGATTTCTCAGAATTGGAAACTCATGATTCCCAATTCACATATCCTCTGGATTTTCGAACCCATCAATTTCATCCGTTCGTAACTTTCGAATCTGATTCTATATCATGAACTGACTAAGTTTGTAATGAACTTTCAAGGCTTGCCAACTTGAACAATCTATCACAAACATGTGTATGACATTGAGTGTATGCATCTTGATCGTGTAAAAATTCTTATTCTTACGTAATTACGTAAGTGAAGTTGATTGTTCCACAAATAAAAAGTCAAAAACATTCAAGACTATGCTCACTGCCTGTAGCGGTTGAACCGCCCCAGCTGGAGGTAGCACCTCCAGCTGTCACGTGTTGCAAGCGGTTGCACCGCCCCAGCTAGAGGTGCAACCGCCCGCAACTCTGCCCTTTTTAACCCAAGCTAGGGCCGGTGGTGAAACCGACCCCAACTCACTCCCTTCCCCTCTTTACTCTTCCAAAGCTCCTCCATCCCCATTTCTCCCCTCATAGCATCCCAAATACTCCTCATTTCGGAGCAAAACATCAACAATCCTTCCCTCTCCTGAAGATCTCACTAAGGTATTCTCTAAGAAGCCCTTAAATTATGTTTTTGATTCATTTACTCTTGCTCATCACTATTCTTCTAAATAGCAGTAGTTATGGGATCTAGAAGATCCTCAAGGGACAAAGGGAAGAGGAGATTAGTGGAAGATTTTGATCTCACCCTTTTCGATTCAAAATACCATGCTGAAAAGTTTTCCTCTTTCGAACTTAGGAGTGTCAATAAGGGAAAACATGTAGATTTAAATGAACTAAGAGACTTAGAGACAATCCAATGGTTTGCAAATTTAGATCTACTCCCTATTTTGCAAATTAATGAATCCATCTATCCAAGACTTGTTAGATTGTTTTACAACAACATACAAATAGATGAAGAAGAAAGAATGTCTACCTATCTTTTAGGACAACACATCTCCATTACAGATAAATTCATTTGCGACATGATAGGCATTCCCATAAAAAGTAGAGGACTTTACTTTAGAGGATCATGGGATGATGAAACTATTGGAACAACATATGTTGAAGCCTTAGGAACAATTTTCGCCAATCCCAACTTAGCATTTGTTCCTAAAAGTTGTGAACATCTACTGCCGCTAAATACTAAGGTACTTCATCATATTCTAACTAGCATCATTCTCCCTAAACAATACCATCATGATGAAGTAAGCCAATTAGAATTAGGAACTATGTATTTGATCATGAAAGGACATGACATCTGTCTTGGTTATCTTATCCAACAAAACATGTTAGAACTATCTAAGAAAGACATGGTGCTCTCATATGGTGGTATAATCACTAGAATAATGAAAGCCTACGATATTCTAATACCACCGGAAGAAGAAGTAATAAAAGTAGATAGGTTTAGCATAATAAATAAAAATCTACTTCACCGATTAAGATGTTTTTATAGAAACGGTAACTGGGTTAGAATGCCTAGAAGAACCGATCCCCCTTAACCTGAACCAGAACTGGAAACACCAGTCTTTAGGGGTACCCAATCTCCTCCGATCTGTCCCTTTGAGGAAACACATCCATTTGAGCAAACTTATACATCATCTGTCGAAGATATTTGGATTCGGATGGACTGATTCGAACAAAGACAAGAACGGCTTG